TGAAAACGCATCTATTTTTAGGCAAAAACTTTGAAGTTTTAGGGCTGATTTCACATAACCCCAATGAGAATTAGAAAAATTAAACAGACTCGAGTAGCTACAAAGCAAAGTTAAACAAACATTGTAATTGTTGATGAGGAAATTACATGGTACTTTTAAGCTTCTTTATGTTTTAATCTAAGACCAGGTTTTTAAAGTCAGGTGTAGGCCCATATTCAGATACTTGCATGAACACATGGAGAAGAAGTAGCCATATGTGTATGCTGATATACAGTTTGCACACATGGGGTGACATTTTGGCCCCAATGAAGTCAATGGGAGTTTTGCCATTGACTTCAAAGAGGCCAGGATTTCACCCATGATATTTTAGTACCTAGGTTTGTCTTTACTTAACAGTTGTACCACTGTAACTACATCAGTATTATTAATATGGTATAATTCTCTCCCCAGTGTGGATGCAGTTAAACTGGTATAAAGGTTTTTATACTGGTATGACTTATTTGCCTAGGGTCAGAGGAATAAACTACTGTGGTATAAGCACTTTTATATAAAGTAGCAGTATAATGGATACCATATATGTATTTTGGTAAAACAGCCACACCGTTAACCAAAATGCTTATACAAAATCTGTGTATAGACAAGGGCACATGCATATAAATAATTGCATCTCTCTTTGAACATCTTCTCCTTAAGGTGTTATTTGAAACACAGACAAGACTATTTTTTAAGAAAATATCTTTTCATATGTCCCTTTAAAAAAAAACTTTACCTGTGCTGAAATCTTGGATAAGTGTCAGTTGAAGGAATGTCTATGGCTGAATAAAACAGGATTTATATACATTTTTAAAACTAACAGATCTTTCACTATAGTGATAAAGAGTCCTGTGGCACCTGATAGATTAACAGACATATTGGAGCATAAGCTTTCATGGGTGAATACCCACTTCCTCAGATGCACGCGTCTGACGAAGTGGGTATTCACCAACGAAAGCTTATGCTCCAATACGCCTGTTAGTCTATCAGGTGCCACAGGACTCTTTGTTGCTTTTTACAGATCCAGACTAACACGGCTACCCCTCTGATACTTTCATTATAGTGACAGTGGTAGGCATCACTCAAACTATTCTTCTTTATATTTCTTTTCTTCAATGAATGCATAAGTGTAAAATGTTAAAAACAATTAGTGAACAGTTACTATGAGGAATACATTTAAAAATGAGCATTAGCTCATTAAGTGCCCAGAAGAACTGTCCTCAATATGCAACTGTCTACAAAGCATCTTAACATTACAAACAAGGATGAGTTATATTTAGCCCTCATAAAAATGTTTAATTGGAATCCAATATAATCCTTCATCTAATGTGTGTATGAAGCGGTAAATAAAATGAGACCGAATCTTTAAAAGCAGGTTACTTTTGTATCTGATAAACCACAAATTTCTTCTTAAAGATTAAAATATGACTAAAATAGTAATCTAAAATAGTAATTATATAAGCCTTTAAAGTGAAATACTCTACTTAAATATTTATCTGAATAATCTTTAAATAATTAAATTTACTGAGGCTGCTCTTGAACTTAATTCACAAACAGAATTTGGTGCAGTATTTTTAATTTGTTATAGCAAAGCAAGTAACAAAAAACAGAGAAAGCAACAGTATAATGCATGAAGGCTGAATGCTGCCCTGAGATAAACATACACAACTCCCATTGCAATGAATAGGAGGTACTCTCATCTAAGAGCAGAATTTGGCCCTATGTATTTTCATGTTCACAAATGAGCATATTACAAAGAGATAAAATTTTAAGGGCACTAATTCTACCCAAGACTAATGAGATTCATTGTCTTTTGTTTCTTATGCAGCAATGGCAACATTTGTGGAATTTCAAAATTCCAAATTGGAATCAAGAATGATAAATATGACATTGAATGCAGAAGCAGACAGCTATATCCAATTTAAAGCTAGGAATCTTGCAGGTAGTGCTCAATTGGTGCTTGTACATAGTTGCTTAACTATCTATACTCCCTCATATCCAAGTGTTAAATGAGACTGTATCTATGCCAATTCCCCAGGAAGTTAAGGGCCAGCACAAATTGTATTTGCATCAGAAGCCTGAGAGTGCTTTCTTCTACAGGATATTCACTCTTGCTTTAATTCTGTGAGTGCTTTTTTCTACAGGATATTTACTCTTGTTACTGCAAATGCACAACTAATGGCAAATGCCTCTTTAAATGTGATGATGTCTGCTGGCATGCATACCAAAAGAAAATACCAGATTACTAAGGGAGAAGGAGACATTTTGGTTTGAGGCTACCAAATATAGATTGTACTGCATTGGCATCCTGGCAAATCTTTTTGCATATGTAATGCTTATATGTGTAGATATGTAAATGAAGTGCCAGATTAGACTCTATGCCATTTGGGAGAGGGCAGGGATTCTGAAGGCGAGGACCCAGCTCAATAACAGAAGGGGACAAACCAAAAGAAGCTGAGACGTGTGTACAATGTTGACTAGTCTCCTGTTTAGTCTGATATCCTTTCAGAAAGAGAAAATGCAAGCGATGTTACAGATTTATGGGTAAAATCCTTACCTGCTTTTGTGTGGAATAAGATAAATCAGCCTGCCCTTAGCCATATACAATGTGAAAAGATAGATGTGTTTGGGAAAAGCATATTATGATAACCATAGCCCAGTGGATGGAGTGGTCTGTTTGCATAACCATGGTAGGAGTTTATAAATCTGTTCATTTTCTTTTAAGGGTGATCATTTTCAATTACACGGACTGCCAGTATCCCAAGCCATTTTTGAAGTGCAGAGTTAACTGCTCTCTCAGGGTATGTCTACACTGCAATACAACCCCTGGGATAGCTCTGGATGGCCCAGATCAGCTCACTCGGGCTTGCAGGTCTCAGGCTGCAGGATTATAAAATTGCAGTGTACATGTTCATGCTTTGGCATCCTCACCCCTGGAGGGGTCTCAGGGTAGGTCTACACTTACTGGAGGGTCCGGCAGCAGGCAATCCATGTTCTGGGATCGATTTATCGCGTCTGGTTAAGACGCGATAAATCGATCCCGGATTGATCCCGGAAGTGCTCGCCTTCGACGCCGGTACTCCAGCTTGGCGAGAGGAGTACGCGGCATCGACGGGGGAGCCTCCCTGCCACGTCTGGACCCGCGGTAAGTTCGGACTAAGGTACTTCGAATTGCGTACCTTAGTCCGAAGTGGGGGCTTAGTGGGGACCAAGTGTCAGAGCCCAGGCTCCAGCCTGACCCCGAACGTTTACGCTGCAATTTTATAGCCCACAGCCTGAGCTCCCTGAGTTGGAGTCACCTGACCCATGCCAGCCACGGTGTCGATATACCCTGAGACCCTGCAAGGGGGGAAGGTCTCAGAGCCCGCACTCCAGTCCAAGCCCGAACACCCACACTGCTATTTTTAGCCCTGCAGCCTGAGCCCCGGGAGTCTGAGTCAGCTGACCTGGGCTCAGACTTGATGCCGCAGGTTTTTTAACGTAGTGAAGACATATCCAGGGTATACTCAGTTCTGCCTAGCTGTGTGGATTGATGGACGTGTGCTAATATCCACATAGAGGAGAAGCTTGTCTTCATCTTCCTTGGAATTTTGGGAAGAGAACCAAAACCCAGATGCTGAACTTTCCAAGCAAGAAAAACATAATTTTGAACCAACTCAAGTGTAGGTTCTGTGGAAACTGAGCTGAAGAAACCTTCTGACATTTAGATGATCAGAAGGCTATATTTTTTCTTGTTAGTGTCCCTAAAAGCTGAAAGCTGCCTTTTTTGTACTCATTCACAATATGCGGTCAACTAATGTTGTAAGATGCACAACCAAGAAGTTTTTAGGATCCAAAATATTAATCAAGAAATTTATTACTCACCTCATTGGCTGTTATTGATTGATAATAAGTTTCATTACTGTTGCTCTGGCATTTTTTGTATAAGTTTTAAAGTTAAAACAACATGTGGATAAACACAGTTTGCATTTACTAAAAATCATATGAAAATAATACAGAATATAAGCAAATAAAAACATAGCCCTTTAAACACAGTTTTTCTCTAGCAGAGGCCATTACCACAATAAATGGTCTGTTACAGATATAATCACAACATTACTTCCTTGATATAATTTCAAAATGAAATATCAGTCTCACATTCCTAAACATTGCTTTCTCCCATAATCTTTCCTAAAAGTGTACTGTGAATTCTGCATCTGAAATCTTAATTAAAAAAAAAAAGCTTTTCTTAAAGCCCACAGGCATTTTGGGGTGAAGGGCCATGGATTATCAAGATGAAGCATACAGTGCCTGGTTGACATATGATTTCATCTTTTGTTTTCTATTAACTTGAGTTACAATCTCAAGGTAATCTGGCTATATTTATTTGATACTGTAAGCACCTTCAACTAACCATTTTATGTCTGAGAAACTTCAGAGTGACTTCTTAAAGATTAAAAAGTCACTATTTGTAAAATATTTAAGTGCTAGAATAAGGAACTCCAGTAGCTAAGGGTAAGAAGCACTTTCACTGAAAGCCTGGTGGCTCGCACAGTGTCTTCATCTGTATTGTTATGGCTGCCATTTTGTCTCTAGCTTCAAAGTCCACTTAGTGTTTTTAAAAACAACAAAATAAAATAAACCTAGAACAGAGCTATTAGCCCTGGAAAAAAAGGTGAATCTTTAGTTTTAAAAAAATCCTTTCAGAAGGGCTCTTTGTAATTAGACTCTCTTTATCAAACTAAGTTATAATTTGGCATTGGTAATGTTTACAGTTCCACAACGTACTGTAATAGTTTGAGATCTAAGGTCTTGGCTACACTTGGGGATTCAGAGCGCTGCCGCGGCAGTGCTGTGAAGCGCGAGTGTAGTCGCACCGCCAGCGCTGCGAGAGCTCTCTCGCAGCACTGCAAGTACTCCACCTCTCCGAGGGGAATAGCTTGCAGTGCTGCGAGCGAGCGTGCAGCGCTGCAGGCGCTGATTACACTGGCGCTTTACAGCGCTGCACTCGCTGCGCTCGGGGTGTGTGTGTGCGCGTTTTCACACCCCTGAGCGCAGCAAGTTGCAGCACTGTACAGCGCCAGTGTAGCCAAGGCCTAAGAAAACCCTCCAAATACTGAGATGTTTATTGCAATACCTTTTCAAAGATTCACAACCTTTCAACAGTTTCCCATTTCATAGTCCTGTCTTTTTTTAAAAACAGCACCCAACATTATACAGTTTCCACATAATATTAAACATGAAATTATCACTTAGAAACAATATTTCAGTAGATAGAGGGTTTAAGGCAAGTCATTCATTTGGAAAAGTTAATTTCCATGTGTTAATTTAGACTGACACAGCTGTTTTCCACCCCATCAGTGCCTTGGGATACACAACGTACATTCAGCAAAGGGGCACACATCTGACCCTATGGACATACGTTGTAAGTCCTGAGTGCCCATTGAAATAATGGTAATATTTTCATATAAGGCATGATCCACAGGGACATGGCATAGGAGGGGTTAATTTGCTTTGTTTCCAGTCTTGCTATTGTATGTGATATTCCCTAGGTAACAGCATTCTTTTCTTACTAAACACCTTTGCAAACAAATACAAACCCCTTTAAAAGGTGCTAAAAATGGGTTTTGAAAACATACAAAATATATTCATCATAGTATTTCCCAATCATTGTTTTAGTGCTGGATATCTGCAGGTTATTTCTTGTTTCTGATTGAAACTATTATTTGTTGTGGAATAACTGTTCTGTCCCAAAACATTTTCTTCTTCTAATTTTTTGGGCCATGAGGGCTTGATGCTTGCCTGCTCTATACTTCCTTTTTGAGTTCTTTTCAATGGCAATATCAACAACACTAAGATGCAGGCAATGTGAAGACAGAAATACCAGGAGCTAAACAAAGAAGAAGAAAAAAAAATCATTAATCAGAACTTTGGCCACTATTATAGCTACTTTAAATACCTGACTGCCCTTACATAGGCAGTTTGCTGTATATATGATCTTTAGCAGCAAGGCATCATCATTTCCACTGGCATTCTTTCAAATATCTTTTATTGTACTGGAGAGTAGAGTGGGAATCAACAAGAAGTGAAACCTCTCCCAGTATATTTACTGCTAGAATGTAAAGTAGACAATTCTGAACTGTTACCAGCTCCAAGGTAAAATACTACATTTACCATAGCAAAATTTCATTTTTGGTGACCTCCCACTCTGCTATAAGCTGTAATGGACATTGTGACGAAGTGGGGGATTTTCTTGTTTTTTCAATGGTTTGCATGCAGAGGGGGTGGGACTCAGTTTCCCTGGGTGCTACTGGTTTAATGAGTTGATGGGAGAGGGAATTTGTTGTTACAGAGGACCCGTGACAGATCTTGGGACCCCAGCCAATGGCCTGGAGAATGGATACCCCAGCGACTGATGACCTGGTGACCCAGAGGCCCAGCTCAGGAGTCACAGCCGGTTCTGGCCAGTGGGAGGACAATGGGCTGTGAAGAGGGGACCCCAGTGACCTAACCAGCGGTTCCAGCCAGAGGGGGCCAGAGGACAGAAGAGGAGGCCCAGGCGACCCTGTTAACCCAGCTTTGTAGTCACACATGCCATTAGGTATTTGGGAAGTATGATATATTTTGATGTATTCCATACTCTGGCAAATGTACTATATTTAATTAATAAAAGAGAAACAGTAGAAACAAAAACTAAAGCAAAAGTGAAAAAATAACAACCTTGAGCAATGAGAAGTGGAGGGGAAGAATAACGATAGCAAAGAAACTTTCAGTTCTAATTGAGTTATTGGACTCTCCAGTTGATCAACCCCATAAACAGGTGTTAGAGCCCTGGTGCACTTCTACTTATTCATTATAGTACAGTAGAACCTCAGAGTTATGAAAACCAGAGTTACAAACTGACCAGTCAACCACACACCTCATTTGGAAGGTGGTATGCAATCAGGCAGCAGCAGAGCCCTCCCCCTCGCCCCCCCGGGGGAAAAAAAAATACAGTACTGCATTAAATGTAATCTACTAAAAATATACAGGGAAAGTTGAATTTTTTTTTGACAAGGTAAGGAAACTTCTGTGATTGTTTCATTTAAATGAAGATGGTTTAAAGCAGCATTTTTCTTCCGCATAGTAAAGGTTCAAAGCTGTATTAAGTCAATGTTCAGTTGTAAACTTTTAAAAGGAACAACCATATCGTTTTGTTCAGCGTTACAAACATTTCAGAGTTACAAACAACCTCCATTCTTGAGTTGTTCATAACTCTGAGGTTCCACTGTAAGTGTGGCCTGATAACTCACCCATTGGTGGAAGGTTCAAAACGGTTTTCTTGGGAGAGGAAACTACAAGTAGTTTTTGGAGCATCCCCAGGGCAGCCAACTGCATAGAAGATGCTTAGATTGAAGTTTATATTGAGTTATTTTGGGGTTGCAAATAAAGCCACACCCAAGCATTGGGGTGAGTTTGGACACTAACTCAGGTTTGTGTGCTGCACCAAGGACAGGGTCGGAACTAAACCTGTTCATATCAAACCATGTTTACTAGCTTTAACTATAGAAAATCCAGGACTGGAATTAGAGATCTATCCAAATGAGCTTCTCGGCTCTATGAGCTAAGATGTGAAAAAATTATCTAAGTATACCTTACTGCCAGACTGTACTGAATAGTTACACATACTGTCACTATATATGTGTATGTACACACACTATATAGTATGTTAAACATCTGTGTCACTTTAAAACGGCAAACAAATAATGCAAAAAAAAAAAAGAGAAGGGTTGTCCTGCTACATTTAAGAGCCTTCTGTGAAGCACTCTCTCTTTTGAGAAATATATACCTATTTACCCTTTTATGGCTGGTTATTCATGAAAGTTACGTTAGGCAGTGGTCACTTATTCCTGTTGCTCTGTGCCCCTTGACCCATTTTCTAATCTCAGATGTGCGCTCTGAATGGCCCCATTCCAGGAAATTCAATAGTGCACTTGTGCTCTGTGTGCTTAAAGAACTATGAAAATTGTTATTTATTTTGTTTTTTCAAACTGGATGACTACTCACTTAGCTGGCAAGATAGTGATCCAAATACTAAAATTTTTATTCACCACTCAAAGGAGAACTCCTGCCACAAGAATAATTCAACTTGCCTCTGAGTTCAGTGATTTTTAAAAAACCCATAAAGTGTACTTACCTGTAAAACATGAAAGAGGGTTTTACAGAGAGCAGCACAAATGGCACAACTGTGTAACTTATTGCTACTTGAGTTGCTATCCATGTGATGACATCGTAACATAATTTAACAGGAGGAGAGTCAACAAAGTAGTGTCTAATGTTGTTTCTCATCTAAAAAAAGCAGATAACAGTAAACGGTATTAGTAACTAAAACATTGTTATTGAGGGCTAGTTTTATTGTATTTTATTTGTTCCATTGCCATGAAAGCCTACTGGCACTAAAGACTTCATCTTATCTCCAGTCTCTTTCCTCTTCTCACTTTGTCCTCGAGGACATCTGGTGGGGAAAGGGTTTCACACACTTTATGCTGAGACAAGGAACCTATTGGAAAGAAGATTTCAATGCCACTCTATACATAAATCAAAGGATTCATCCAAGAACACTGCAGCTGGTACATGTGCGTCCGAACCATACCCAGCATCCATTGGCTTCGGGTACAGATAGCTTGCACACCCGGGCCTTCAGCTTACCATGCATTATCTGGCCTAAGAATTTAGTATTAGAATTTAGTATTTTCAATATATCCAATCTAATTTGAGACTTCTTGTCTGATTGAAACAGCCTTGTTTTACAGTAAGTGACGTCTAATTTTCTGTAAATGTACATTTGTGAATAATATGAAAATAGAATACTTCAACAAAAGTCTCCTTAAGGTAAGCCATTCCCATACACTCACTGACAGGATTACAGTCCAAAGCATTAAAGCATCCTGTTTTATCTAAATGTAAGAAATTTTAACTGTGTATTTCAGAAGTCTCAATAATGTAGTACAGTTAATGTAACAAAATATGTACATAACACATTCACACACAGCTCCTGTATGTTTCTTGGAGAACCTTGTGTAACTCAGGGACCTCTTTGTGCTAGGGTTCCCAACTTTCTACTCGGACAAAACTGAACACCCCTGCCCTGCCCCTTCTCCAAGGCCCCGCACCCTGCTTACTCCATCTACCCCTCCACCCCCCCACCCCCCCGTCATTTGCTCTCCCAACCCTCACTCACTTGCTCATTTTCATTGGGCTGGGGCAGGGGGTTGAGGTATGGGAGGGGGTGAGGGCTCTGGCTGGGGGTGTGGGCTCCAGGGTGGGGCCAGAAATGAGGAGTTCAGGGTGCAGGAGGGGGCTCTGGGGTGGAGCTGAGGGGTTCAGAGTATGGGAGGGGGCTCCGGGCTGCGGGTGCGGGTTCTGGGGTGGGGCCAGAAATGTGGGGTTCAGAATGCAGGAGGGGGCTCTGGGTTGGGGCAGGGGGTTGGGGTACAGGGGGTATGAAGGTTCTGGCTGGGGGTGCGGGCTCTGGTGTGGGGCCAGGGATGAGGGCTTTGGGGTGTAGGAGTGTGCTCCAGGCTGGGATCAAGGGGTTTGGAGGGTGGGAGGGGGATCAGGGCTGGGGCACGGGGTTGGGGGGCGGGAGGGAGTCACGGGTGCAGGCTCTCGCTGCCGCTTACCTCAGGCAGCTCCCGGACGCAGCGGCATGTCCCCGCTCTGACTCCTAGACGGAGGCATGGCCAGGTGGTCCTGTGCACTGCCCCGTCTGCAGGTGCTGCCCCCGCAGCTCCCATTGGCCATAGTTCCCGGCCAATGGGAGCTGCAGAGCTGGTGCTTGGGGTCTCTTGGCTGCCCCTATGCGTAGGAGCTGGAAGGGGGCCATGCCACTGCTTCCAAGAGCCACGTGGAGTCATGGCAGGCAGGGAGCCTGACTTAGCCCCACTGTGCTGCCGACTGGACTTTTAATGGCCCGGTCAGTTGTGCTGACCGGCGCCACCAGTGTCCCTTTTCAACCGGGTGTTCTCGTTGAAAACCGGATACCTGGCAACCCTATTTGGTGCCAACTGACAGAGTTCACAGGGGTGCATAAGGGTTACAGGGTTTTGGGAGCAAAGGTACATTTAGGCTTGAGAGAAACCTGCTGTGAATATTAAGTGTCTGTTCTGATCATGTTTAACAGGATAAGCGTAAGTGGAATTGTGCATGTGAAAATTATAGAGTAATCATACTTAGTGTTGTGCATGTGTAACAAATTTCAGAGAAATCATGTTTGTGAGAGTGGCGGGGTGGACTAGGTCTGGAGGCCCCCAGCTGGAGACCTCATGGTCCTGTATCACCCTGCCCCAGAATGGAGCAGCGAAAAATCCTCCAGGCAATCTAGAGTGGCTGTAGAAGAGTGGCCAATCAGAGGGGCTGCTGGAGCAACCAATAAGGGTCAGAAAGGCCAGATAAAAGGCAAACAGCAGAGCAGAGCCTTCAGTGACTGTGTGGAGCTTGACAAGGGAGGACTGAGTGCCTGGCTGATTAGACGAACAGTAGTACTGTAGATAGCTCACCAGACACAACTGAGTCCAGCAGAGGCTGCCAAAGACCAGGTGCCTGGCTGGCTGGATAGAATAGCAGCAGAGCTGTCAAAAGGTTAGTGCGGGCAGGCTGAGCCCGGGGGACTGAGCATAAAACCTGGCTAGACCAGACGAGGGTACCAAGATGGGCCCTGCTGGTCTGGTAGCAGACTGGGCCCAGGGAGGGCTGCTGAACAGGACACCAGTTGAGATGTGACCCAGTGTGCCTAAGGCAGCCCTCACTGGAAATGCCAAGGTCAGGGCAGGCTGCAAAAGGGAGAGCAGATACTCCCAACGCTGGTGGGTAACACAGAATTTAAAGTCACAAACTGTGCTTCTGATTCCCCCATGCTGGTTATCAAGAAGCAAAAAAAGAAATCACACAGCCCCCTTATTGCATTCCAGTTCTGTGGCTCCCAATCAGCACCTAGGTGCAGTACAGTGAGAAGTTATTTAAAAAACTCTGCTCACATATACAAAATGTTCTTCTGACCCCAAAGGGTCAGCCACTTTACCAGGTCAGTATAGATTTGGATCTGACCCAAAATACCATGCTGCCAGCCAATCCTTTAGTGTCTAAAACTAAAGGTTTGTTACAAAGAAAGAACAAGAAGAGAAATGGTAAAGTAGTCACATACATACAAAGACTTCAAAGTCCATATTTCAGGTTTCTAGCAGTATTGGTGAGTTTGCTGGCTTGAAAGTCCCTCTGGAACACATCCACAGCTTGGATGGGTCATTCGGTTTTTTTCAGAGTAGGGTGACCAGATGTCCCGATTTTATAAGAACAGTCCCGATTTTTGAGTCTTTTTCTTATATAGGCTCCGATTACCCCCCACCCCCTGTCCCGATTTTTCACATTTGCTGTCTGGTCACCCTAGTTCAGAGCTTTGTTTGTAGAAAGCTTACTCCAGAGGTAAGAAGCAGGCCTGAAGACAAAATGGAGAAGATGCAGCTGCCTTTTATAGTCTTTGGCCATGCAGCTTGTATTTCCTTTGTTCCAAATACAAGCTGCCCAACACATGGCCTGGAAGCCATGTGCTGGGCAGCTTAGAGTTCTGTCCATAGGCATGCCCCTGCATGCCTTGCTGAGTCATAAAGAGTATCCCTTGCCTTCTCTCAATGGGTCAATTGTATAGCTGATGTCCCTTGATATGCCATCAAGAAGGCTAGGCAGTGCTAATGCCAATCTGTCTGGGGGTGTCACCCAGATGCACAGCACAAGTTGAACTACAGACATACCATACATGTAACTTACAATATAAAGGTGATACAAAACCAAACAAGGATAATTTGCCAGGTATGATAAAACATTTTTGCAGATACCTTACATGGTATACCTGGCATAACTCATTGTAATTTTACAATATTGGTATTCATAATATCCTAAAGTATCCCACAAATTCAATACAGCTTCACAGAGGGTACCAAGATAGGCCCTGGCTAGGTGTCTGAAGAAGGCAGTGCCTCTGGGAAGAAACCTAAGAGCTACGGCCCCATACCAAGCCTGTGATAAGAACTCGGCAGGTGGGAGGTGCTGGGGGGGGAGGCGGAGGGGAGGGAAACTAGCTGCTGATAGGTGGTAAGCACCTGCTAAATTTTTTTCTGTGGGTGCTCTAGCCCTGGACCATCCATGGAGTTGGCGCCTATGTGGAGAGCATGAGAGAGCTCATTACAGCCAAGTTGGCCCAGCTGCAGGGTCAGTTACAGTAACATCTCTTAAGGACCTCACAAGAGTGGAAGATCAGTGTAATTTCATTCCATCCTACCCCACTCTCCTGTCACACCTCTTACCCTCGGTTGGAGGCTGAGACAGGAGACTGCCTCCAAGTGAGTTTCCACCAAAAGAGTTTCCCTTCACAAGGGATATTACTTATCACCAGAATCCTGCCCCTTTGTGCCACCTGAGCAGTGCAATGGTGTCACATCATGGTGGACAATCTGGCCACAGACATAGTGCCCTGTGCACATGACTCAAAAGAACTCCTAAACCTAAATCTTAGAATCATAGAATATCAGGGTTGGAAGGGACCTCGGGAGGTCATCTAGTCCAACCCCTGCTCAAAGCAGGACCAATTCCCAACTAAATCATCCCAGCCAGGGCTTTGTCAAGCCGGGCCTTAAAAACCTCCAAGGAAGGAGATTCTACCACCTCCCTAGGTAACGCATTCCAGTGCTTCACCACCCTCCTAGTGAAATAGTGTTTCCTAATATCCAACCTAGACCTCCCCCACTGCGACTTGAGACCATTGCTCCTTGTTCTGTCATCTGCCACCACTGAGAACAGCCGAGCTCCATCCTCTTTGGAACCTCCCTTCAGGTAGTTGAAAGCAGCTATCAAATCCCCCCTCATTCTTCTCTTCTGGAGACTAAATAATCCCAGTTCCCTCAGCCTCTCCTCATAAGTCATGTGCTCCAGATCCCTAATCATTTTTGTTGCCCTCCGCTGGACTCTTTCCAATATTTCCACATATAATCTTGGGATTATATACCAATTTCTTCCATGGTTTTAGAAAAGTCATGCACCTAAATTTCAGCCAATACTGAAATGAGATTAAGGTTTTCCTATCTCACAAGATTATGAAGATTGTTGAAGATGAAAAAGTGCTATACAGTTACTACATATGATTATTATGATTGTCATATCCTGTTTAATGAAATGCCTCAGCATGTTTCCTCCCAGCATCACACCCATCACTGAATTGTCCTGGAGTGTGGAGCCTGTGTAGAATAGGAAGATATGGTCCACTTCCTCTCCCACCCTCCAAAGATGCCATGTTTTAATGATGCAATAAAAAATAAGGGCTTTTTGAAAAAAAATTATGTATATATTATACATAAACTATTGTGCCTTTAATTTGTATGCACAACTACAACTGCATGTAAAAAATTCAAGTAACTATCTAAGGTATTTATATGGCTCCCATCAACATAGTACCTGAGTGCCTCACAATCTTAAGTTTTTATACTTACAACCCCACTGTGAGGTAGGAAGTGCTACTATCCCCATTTTACAGAAGGGAACGGAGGCACACAGAGGCTAAGTGACTTGATCAAGGTCACACAGGAAGTTTGTGGTAGAGCAGGGAATTAAACCCAGGTCTCCTCAAATCCTAAATTAGCATCCTATCCACTGGGCCAACCTTCTGCTTTAGTTGTTCAAGCAAATGGTCAGTTATGCATCTACATGGTCATTTGTGCCAATCTGTAGTACACTGAAGTGTAAATTAGATACAATTGTATATGCAGTTTAAAAAAATCAATCCAGTTAAGATTTATCATCCAACTTCTACAGAATTAGCTATATAGAAATCTAGGTTATTTATGCTTGAAAGGATTAGATTTTAATCAGTAAATGTCATTAATAAGGAATTGAGAGGAAGGTGGTGATCACAGAGAATCTGATCTTCATAGACCTAACAAGGGACAGTAAATAACTGACATGATAAAACACCTCAACCTGTTTTTGATAGTCAGTCAGTACACTTGCACACAAACCCAAGCTCTGTAAACGTGAGAGCTAACCATATCTGTGAGAGAGATGAAATATGACAGTGAGAGGTGCGCCACTGGAGAGTGGAGTGTTGCGATTCGTGCCAGGGAACTGTTCACGGGCCTTGCCTGCGGCTCTAGTTTTTGTATAAGCCTGGTTGAAAAGTGTGAAGATTCACCCCTCTAGTGGCAGTAAAGGGGAAGGGAATTTATGTCTATATACTGCTCCTCCAGAGGCTCCTGACTGTTGTTAGGAAAGGGGCCACAGCTTTAAAATGGGACAATAATGCTAACCCATGTTTGTAAAATGCTTTGAGATCTTTGGAGGAAAGTATTATATGTTTTATTAGTAGTAGGAGAAGTCTGATAAATTGAAGCTCCAGCTCCCACTAGCAGTTGGAAGCTGCAAAGAGTCTTGTGCTCCATCTCTCTCTCTCCCCTTCACAGCCTCCTGCCTGATCTGATAGCAAAGAGGTCTCTGTTACTGTATCCCTCCCTGCTCAGCCTCCATTTTTGAGGTCCTCTTGCTCCTTGATTAACTCTAGTACCTCCTTTCCCAAGCAGCACTGTGACACTGACAAATTTCTTGACAGGTTTACTACTTTAGTTTCTGAGTTCATTTTTCTGGATCCACAGGGTTCTGAATAGCAGCAGTAAAATTGATCAGAATCTTATTAACATCAATCTGCTGTTGCTTGGCAGAACTCTGAGCAGCAAATGTACTAGAGACGTTTGTCTGCTGGCTGAGGAGAACACTGCTTTACTTTAATATATTTACAAAAGTACCAAATACAAGTTTATTTTAAAATGATTATTAAATTCTACAGAAATTGTTAGCTCAGGCCTCCAAACCCTAATGAAAGATTCCTCCACCTCACTGGCAAGTAAGTGACTTTTAAATATCACTTTTAACTATATCTGTTCACATCACAGTAATATTGTACAAGATAGTCAGTGAAGCTTGAGAACTTCACGTGAAAGATTTGCTACAAATGCACTAACAGCAATGTAGTCCTCCTCTTTCGTCTTTCCTCCCATCCCTCCCTTCTGTTCACCACTGCTGTTACATTTAAAATATATATTATACTTTTTGGGCCCAAGATTGTGTCTGAGTTTCCCTTGTGATGCACACATCTTTGAGCACTGTAGCATAGTCACTTTGCTTTTACAAAACTACTTATTAAAATACATGGTTGGTACTTACGGCTCGTGCTGCTAATGTCATTAGTACTCCTGTTAAAAATGTTAAATAATATCCAGGGTACACACCATGCCAAATGGCCGAAAGGATGAAGGTCTGGATCGTAGGACTGAAGGAAGCTCGCTCGTAGCATACTCTAACAAGTAAAGTAAATGTATTAAAGGCAAAGGGTATAAGGGAGAGAAGATGATCAACAATAGAGCCAATAACCATTTAAAACCTAGCAAGCCATAGATTAAATAGCAGTTGCTATTTGATTACATAATTCTATTGAATCTTGGACTTAAACATTAACATATTATGATTTACAGAAAATGCTGTAACTTTACTCTCCGCTTTGATACCAGATCTCAGTACTACTATGTATGCTCCTTCACAATGGCGTGACACCACTCCTGAAAGGCAGAACTCTACTGGTTAGCTACTATAGTTGGATGGGAAATGCGTTACCTGTCCAATGAGATTTTTTGAGATTTCCAAAAAAAAGTTCCCATCCCAAACTTGGATGAAAATGTTCATGAACCAAAATCTGAACAAATTCAGACTGGGTCAATTCAAATGTTTCATTGCAATAATTTCAAAACATTTAATTTCAATATTGACCTTTAGTTTTTTTAAGCCTTTTTTCTTTACTATAATTTTGAAATGAAGTCATTATGATCCCCAAACTGGAGCTTTTCCAGAAATAGGAAAACACAGAAATGGGACATCTCAACAATTTAATTTTTTTTTCAAAATGGGAAACTTATTAAAACCAACTCTTTGCAGCAAACAGTTTTGTTTTTGACAAATTGGAATTTTCTGATTAAAAAAGATTTTGTTGAAAAATTCCCAACCAGCCCTAGTAGGGAGTACGTCTCTAGACCCTCAGCTATATGTGCGAGTGCACCTTCATGCTGACTTCTCTGGCAATAAATTCTATGACATCATGAGTTTGGCTTGCAAATAGGTGTTTACATTAGCAGACATAGTTCGATCTTCCCTGCAATAAAATTTAAATTATTAAAACCATTTCTGCTTTTCAGGGATGGAACAAATATTTGGGGAGGAGGGTGTACACCCCTCCACACACCCCTCTTGTAAGGAGAGCAAGTTTGAGGGATACACCTTACTCTCTGGAGGAGGTAGTTGATGATGTGTTCCACTATTTGAAGAGCGGGTTTACATTTGCTGGGAGCACTTTCCCTGTTATAAACTGGGTTGGACTTGGAGGGAGGAGTTTGATTAGACAGGGCAACTACAAAGCCATAGAGCTCCTAGTAGCATGTATGCATTCCCTAATCACTGCATTAGATCTGGTATCACAGCAGGACTGTAATACTTGCTCTGAGAATGAGTATCAATCTACTCTACAGGCTTTATTCCACATCTCCACCATACCATTGGAAATGCACTGCTAATTCAAGAAGCCAATCCAGGGGAATACATATGAATCAACCAGAGGTTGCAGAAGACTGCAGCTACTGTCTTTACATAGGTTGTCTATTCAGAGATGCTAGTCATCTTTTGCATAGTGCCAAAACTTAGGAAAGACATCTTCACAACTAGAAGTTACTTCATAGAACAGGAATCTTATATAAATTAGCTTCCCCTGATTACCAACATCCTATTTCCTGGACGTGTGGCTATTAAGCTTCTGAAGTCCAAAGTGTTTAGTAAAGGCATATGTAAGACTCCAAGATGGTGGTCTACCCAGACTGCCAGCTATTAATAAAGTTCATCTCCTGAGGGGAAAATGGACCTGCCTCAATATAATTGCCAAGAAGGATGGGCATTTTCTGCCTTCTATTCACCTAGCTGAAGTGGGATGTTTCATTTGGCTCTATTAATCCATCCTCACAACCATTCCAAGGGGGAACAGCAGGGAAGCATTAGCCCATTGGGAACCATCTTTTATTTCTGGCAAAGCCAGGGAACAATAAATCTGACAATTACATAAGGGTACCGAAGAAGACAATGTGTACACAGCATACTCTCCCAACTACATTCCCATATGGTTTAGAGCTTGCAGTGTAGTTTCTAGAAAGGGAGAGGGTGCAGACAGTTCGCATTCATAATACAGGGAAGATTCTGTGACTGGGTAGCTAAAAAAGCTCATAGGATTCTCCACAGGCCAGCAGCCAGAGGCAGATAACACTATAATTAAAGCGTAGCATCGATTATGCAGCTGCATTGGTTTAGGATCTCTAATAACAAGTATTCATAAATTATTTTTAAAGATAAGTAATAAAGAAACTTCAAAGTAGAAAAGTTTTCTTTTAAATACAGTACCTTTTAAGCCAAAGAGCTGTTTGAATATTCCAGTTATCAAGAAACATCTTGAAACTTGTTGAAAACTATAAAACCAAAACACTAATTATTTCTGCAAAATGTAAAGACGCCATATTAAAGAGTCATGCTGTATTTCAGAATAGTGTGATACACAAACCAAGTATTCTTTGGGAATGAGCTGAATAAGGACAGCAGGAATTTACTCAACCACTATTATGAGCCTGCTTTTATTCCTTAATTTGTAACTCTACACTTAGAATATTCATAATCACAAAAAATCCCACAAGCTAGTTGGCTTGCAGAAGATATCCAAAATGTATGTGATTTGTCACTCCTTCCCCCAGAGACTGATTGTCACCTCTGATTTGTGACACCTTTGCAATCTTGAGAATAGAAAAAGTGTAAGACAATTTAATGCCTTTAAACTTTTCTATATGAGCACAATTTTATTTGAAAGAGCCATGAACAAACCTCTATATGCTGGATTCTCAGATTTGATATTAAATCCCAGCGTGATGCTCCATTTTTGTCATATCCTCTAAAACCAAACCCTGCTGCATTATTAATTGCATCTGCTGCAATGAAACAAGAGAAAACAATTGTCGTAAGTAGTTATAAATTGCCTACATTACTAATATTGTGCATCATATGACAAGTACTTTGTACACGTGATTTGTTGTATTAATGTATTTTTTGGCTGTATATTTAAATGTTTAGAAGCACCTAGAGTCACTGGATTAGGCACTTAACTATCAAGAGAAAAGAATAAGACAAATAAGGATATATGTTTGCAAACCAAGTCATTTTCAATCTTAAAATAATTTTTATAAAAAAAGAAAAGCAAACAAACAGACATATAATACACCATCGGTTTCACAATGTAGGCAACTTCTCCTGTCACAGTGCATTCATTTCTATTTGGTCCTTTCTTTCTACTTGGGAGAGGGTATCTTTGCCTTCCAATATGCCTGTTTGATCAAACTGACAGAGGAACCCATTCAAGCTCACTGCGATGCATAGTATTAACTACCACCCAAAGAGAAGAGAAAAATTGGAATTTGATCAGTTCTGTTTTGAATATAAACTGAACTCAATTTAAGATTACAAAGCACAGGCGTATTCATTGGTTGCAGTGGTTTGAGAAAGTGTCCCAATATTCAGATGCCTTCCTTCACTTATGAGGGTTACATGAGCTGAATATGTAAACACTAAAAATAAAATTGTCTCACTGCATGATGTTTCAGATAGCATACCAAAGTCTGATGCTCTAAATATGTTCCTGTTAAAAATCAATGGGGAAAAAAATCAACTACTGAGAAAGACATGATTTCTAATGTGTACTCAAAATTTCTTCTAATAGTACAAGTCCTGATATCAGAACAGCCCATAGTTCCTTTCTGATACCAGTGAAGTTTGGGAGGAAATATCAAAATATATTATAGATAATGCCCGAATGTGTAGCCAAATGAAAGGAGGGAAATGTCATGGCAACAAGACATCGTGATGATCCAACGATGTGCCAGAGGCAGTGAAGAAGGAAAGGTTTAAACAATGGCAGAAAATAAAAATGGTGGAAAGTTATGAGGAATGCAAACTTGTAAAGATAACAACACAAAGAGCAGTTGCAGAAACTAAGGGTCAGATATTTAAAGACTTGTAAGCAGTCCTACTGATGAAGGAAGGGGGAAAAGGAATATATAAATTAGCCAAGAATAGGCATAGAAGCACAGAGAACTTGGGAACTGTAAAGTGTGTCAAAGATGAAAACGGAAGAGTACTGGTGGAAGATGGTGATATCACTAGGAGGTGGCAGCTGTTTTATGAGAAGCTACTCAGTGAAGACAATGAAGAAACCACTTAAGGAAGTATGTGCAAGAAACAGTCTCACAAGACTTCTCATCATGGTGGAGACTCAGACAGGGTTCAAGGTTACAAAACTGGTAAGGCAGTGGGACCGGCCAACATACCAATTGAGCCATTTAAAGCATTAGACCATGAGGGAATGGGGACAATGATGATCTTTTTCAACTTAATTTTCTGCACTGGAAAAAGGCCAATGAGTGGAGGAAGAGCACATTGGTTCCTATCTTTAAGTGTAAAGGAGATGTGCAAGAAAGTAGTACTTACCAACCCATCAAATTAATGAGTCACACTTTGAAATGGCTGGTAAGAATAATCGAGAAAAGACTTCGGGAGGAGCTGGAACATCAAACAAGCAACACCAATTCAGGTTTATGCAAGGAAGGTCAACATAGAATACAGTGTTTTCAGCCCAAATATTACAGAAGTACAGAGAGAAATGCAAGGGATTGCACTTAGTGTTTGTGGATTCAGAGAAGGCTTATGACACAGTTCCTAGAGAACTGTTATGGTAATGCCTGTGGTCATGCAATCTGCAAGAGACATATGTTAAAACTATCATGGACATGTATGAGAGTAGCAGAACAATAGTGAGAAGCAGCAGTGGCTACAATGAATCATTCACTGTGGGGATAGGTCTACATAAAAAGGATCAGCCGTAAGCAGGGGCGGCTCTATGTTTTTTGCCACCCCAAGCATGGCAGTCAGGTGGCCTTCGGTGGCATGCCTGCGGGCAGTCCACGGTCACACAGATTCAGTGGCGTTTCTGTGGGTGATCTGCCAGTCCCACGGCTTCGGCATGCCCGTCGCCGAATTGCCGCCAAAACCACAGGACCGGCAGGCCTCCCACAGACACGCCGCTGAAGGCCGCCTGACTGTCACCCTCACAGCGACCAGCAGGGCTTGCTGCGCTGGTGCCTGGAGCTGCCCCTGGCCGTAAGCCCATTCCTAGTTCCGATTATAATAGACACACTGACGCAGGAGATTAGGAGAGAGGCTCCCTGGAGCATAGTTTTTGCTGACATGTTGTGCCATGAAAATTAATACAAACTGGAAAGGGACCTAGAACAATGGAGGGCTACAATAGAAGAAAATGGCTTACAAAAGACAGAATACATGTAAAGTTTAATTGAGAGGGACAATGAAAAAAATCAATAAAGTTAGATGGTATGGAGTTAAACTCTGAACCTCAGTTCAGTGTTGAGCCATGGTGAGAATGTGAATGCAGATGTTAGGAGCTGCATGAAAAGCAGATGGTGTAAATGTAGGGAGTTGATGGGGATTATATGTGCCAAGTACACTAAAGAGCAAAGTGTAGAAGATCATGATTAGGCCAGCCATGACATATGGGTCGGAACACTGGTCAATGAGGAAGAGAGAAGAACACTACTTCATACTGCCAAAACAAGAATGCTCAGGTGAACACTGGGTAAGACAACAGCTGCTAAGCTATGCAATTAAATGGCATGAGCTATGATGCAGGCAGCCTCCATTATGGAAAAGCTGAGAGAGTACAGATTGAGATGGCCGGGTCACATAACATGGCAAGATGTGAGATACATTGGACAGAGAGTATAAGAACTAACAGTCACAAGACGAAGACCTAGATGCTGAAGGAAGACATGAAGGAGGTTGGCGCCATCTTGGATGGCACATTTGACAAGAATGCTTAGAGATGAAGAACAAGAACCGTTGACCCGATTGACAGGACAAGGTAAAGGAAAATAAGACTAGTTACAGCAGAATAAGGACCTGCAGTAAAAGACCTAGGGGTTACAGTGGACGAGAAGCTGGATATGAGTCAACAGTGTGCCCTTGTTGCCAAGAAGGCTAACTGCATTGTGGGCTGTATAAGTAGGAAGATTGCCAGCAGATCGAGGGACGTGATCATTCCCCTCTATTCGGCATTGGTGAGGCCGCATCTGGAGTACTGTGTCCAGTTTTGGGCCCCACACTACAAGAAGGATGTGGAAAAATTGGAAAGAGTCCAGCAGAGGGCAACAAAAATGATTAGGGGGCTGGAGTACATGATTTATGAGGAGAGGCTGAGGTAACTGGGATTATTTAGTCTGCAGAAGAGAAGAATGAGGGGGGGATTTGATAGCTGCTTTCAACTACCTGAAAGGGGATTCCAAAGAGGATGAATCTAGACTGTTCTCAGTGGTAGCAGATGACAGAACAAGGAGTAATGGTCTCAAGTTGCAGTGGGGGAGGTTTAGGTTGGATATTAGGAAAAGCTTTTTCACTGGGAGGGTGGTGAAGCACTGGAATGGGTTACCTAGGAGGTGGTGGAATCTCCTTCCTTAGAGGTTTTTAAGGTCAGGCTTGACAAAGCCCTGGCTGGGATGATTTAGTTGGGGATTGGTCCTGCTTTGAGCAGGAGGTTGGACTAGATGACCTCCTGAAGTCCCTTCCAACCCTGATATTCTATGATAATAACCTTCCTTTCTTCTTTGAAAAATTGCCTCTAACCTGTGGTAGTTCAGTATGAGTCTAGAATAAAACAAATATTATGCAAATAAAAACAATATATTTAAGTTACAATAGGAAATACAAATTTAGAAGACAGAACACTGGAAGTATACTACTGTGCTAAAGTAAGTGTACTTTACATGATAGTGGAATATGCCTGAAATCCTTAACCTTTTTATTCCCCTTTTCTTAACAGCTGCTCTAAGGCAACTTAACTTCCTTTGCTCTCTAATTCATACCTATGATGTCAGGCAAGTCAGTGGCATAGATTTTTTTCTCTTTTTCTCAGAGGCCACATATTAAAACTTTCCCCTTTTATATCTATTGCTACCATTTGCACAACACATTTCCTCTGTCAGGGACAGGGTATACCAGGGATCGGCAACCTTTGGCATGCGGCTCGCCGGGGGTAAGCACCCCGGGCGGGCCGGGCCGGTTTGTTTACCTGCCGCGTCTGCAGGTTTGGCTGATTGCGGCTCCCACTGGCCACGGTTCACCGCTCCAGGCCAATGGGGGCTGCAGGAAGCGGTGCGGGCCGAGGGACATGCTGGTCGCCGCTTCGTGCTGCCCCCATTGGCCTGGAGCGGTGAACTGCAGCCAGTGGGAGCCGCGATCGGCTGAACCTGCGGACACGGCAGGTAAACAAACTGGCCCGGCCTGCCAGGGTGCTTACCTTGGCGAGCCGCATGCCAAAGGTTGCCGATCCCTGAGCTATACATTTCACTCAGTTATTCAGCCGTCAAGGAAGTCTGACACTGCTTATCTAAGAGATTCTTCTGAGCTCTACTGGCCCACAAGACAAAATTTGTGATATTTAAAAAAAAGTAACCTAACCTAATAATTTCTCATATTCTATAGCACCACCAATGAACATTTATTAAATTAAATTTTGTAAATAAGGAGAGAACCTGCTGCTCTATTTGAGGCCATGCATAAGAAATATCAGCATGCCACGCTTTTTTAGAAATACCTGAAAGTAACACCAATTCCATAACAACTTCCTAACTAAAGGAGGAAACAGTGCTGATAGCATACACATCAGTATTCATTTTAACATATTTGTAAAGGAGTTTTAGCATTTGCAAGGAATAAAAATAGATAAAAACCCCAAAGCACTGCATTCAGCAAAACACCAGCGTCATCATGCATTCTGCTCAGGCCCTTAGAGCAGTTACAATGAAGTAGCAGCAAAAGAGGGCAAGAACTAAATGAAGCACTGGTCCAATAAAGTTTATGTCCTTCCATATTTTATCAAAGCCAGGCTGGTTCAACTCTGCTAGCAAACATAGTACAGACAGAACTCCCTCTGAGGAGATACTCCAACAGTGTAAGTTTAGGCACTTTTCAGCTGGCTTCCATCCTTGACAGATGATAATACTGGTGTTTTTAGGCACAATATTCCAAAGTATGTCATTCTTTAACAAAACCTAGAATTATTCTGTACCCAGACAGGCTGAAAATACTTCATTCACTGAGCAGGAATTAAACTAGCAGCTGAAAGTGAGTCATGCTATTCTACTAAACTCTTTACTGCATTGGTTTCCCCTCAATTTTCATGCAGAGTTATGCAACAAATATATAATAAACAAAATATATAAATAATCAAAAATATAATAAATATTTCCATGGCACAAACTTCCGGAAATTGAATATATTTTCTCTAAATGACTTAGAAAGGAAAAATATTGTTTAAAATACAACATCCATTTAGTGCCTCAAACAAGGGCAATATATATGTATTCTGCTTTTAGCAGGTCATTAAAGTTTTTAATAAGAACAAGGTGAAATGTTTACCATCAATATAGGAAACAACTGCACTTTACGTTGCAGTTACTGCTGACCATATTATACTACACACTACAATATATCCATATTGAGTTATGCAGTTTATTCTTGCAGTTGGGCTATTCTAAATAGCATTTTTTTTTTGGTAATTGACTGCAAGGAAGAGGTTTAGAATGGATATAAATGGGTGTGAAAAGTAAAGTACAGAAGTCTTAAATTAAAATGCACTATGCAATTAAACTAGTTTTCAGAAAATTTTAAAAGGGATAAAAATACCATTTCTCATTCAAATAAATCAAATACATGTTTTATTGAGGTATCTATTCATCAGGCCCTGGAATCTAGTTTGCAAAATACACTTCTATGCTTAAATTTATGTTAATGGGCAAGTATAAAATAAACCCATTCATTGTCCCTTGCCTAAAGTTTCAGTTCTAAAATTACTTCTTTCTAAGACCCCAAGAGGGCACTCTCTCTTTTAAATTCATACCCAACATATAGTACTTTTAACTGTAAAGAAAAGTACAAACACATTTTTTGTTGCTTACCTAAAGTCCATGCAAAATAGTATTTGGGCCTGGCAGCCATTAAAGACACATACAGGTAGATAATCCTCATAGGCAAAGATACTGTAGCTCTGAAGTGATCATCAATGTTGTATTCCACAGGTAAAGTTTTTGTGACAGTCATATGAAATAATAATGAGAACCCACAGATTAAGAGTTTCTGTGTCACAGCTATCTGAAAAGTGCAATATAGGAGAGTTTGTGAGCTTCATCTTTTTTATTAAGTTTTCTGAAACAAAAGTTATTGATAATCTTTCCTAAATAGGTGTACAAATGTATGTCACTTCCTGATAAACACATGCTATGAACTTTAAATTTTTAATGACATTTACAAGCTAAAAGGATAAGAGGAAAAGGAAATATTCCTGCCTGGATTATGCTATGACCCTCTCTTCTTAAAGTAAGAATTGTTAAATCAAAGTCTGACAGCAATTAAGAACCTTGAAAAATCCCTTGAATAAATGGGACCACCATTCATACTTCCAGCTTTTCATAATAGTATCAAGAAATATCTAAACAGATAAAAATTAAGATGTCATTATCAAGATTATCAATTGGGTCATTTGAGGTTAGTGCATCTTTTTCACAGTACCCACAGACAGACCGTGGCAAAGAGTCCCCTTCTCTATTTTTAATGACATATCACTCAAACATCAACTGGAGTTTATTCAAGCCTATAAGTACTAGTATCTCCTTGTTTTCAGTTCCTTTTCGGTAACTTTTAGAAAGACAAGATGTAAAATGTTGTCCAAATCATTATATTAAGCACCACTGTGGAGGATGTTTCATAGTACTATATACAAGATTTGAAATTATAACAATTTCTAAATGTATTTAACTGGGATTTACAATGGAATCCTTCCCTCTGGTTTTATGAGGCCTTGTTTTCCAGCTAGAGTGACCAAGGCAGAAGAAGGTCAAGTAACTCACCCAAGGACACACAGATTCTGACCCAGTGTCCCTCGAAGCCCAGTCCTTTTGCTCTTACCATTTTTTAAAAAACGTAGATCAGGTTCCATTATAAAATGCGCACAAGCATAGGTGCTGGAACTAGGGCTGCTGGGGGTGCAGCAGCACCCCCTGGCTTGAAGTGCTTTCCATCATATACAGGGTTTACAGTTAGGTTCAATGGCTCTCCGCATCCCCACTATACAAATTGTTCCAGCACCCCTGCACATAATGAGTAACACATAACATTTGCTGTTTTAATACATAGTCTGCTCTATATACCAAAGACAAAAGGTCCCATATGATGTATAAGTTGCTGAAGTATCTTTAATATACTAAAGAAGCACCTAAAGTGTCCATGCACAAGTTAATCATTGAAGAGCTGCAGTCGTTTAGGCTCTACTTGTATTCAAAATCCTCCATTTCTCTCAATAATTTAATTGAGACTAAAATATGGACATACATTTACCATTATAATTCTATTAATGTTAAACTTGCCAGGAAAATAATTCAATGTGGCCTGATTTTGGCTATAAAAGTGTTAGAACAGATAAGAGGTAGCTAGTTCCTTGTTCTCTCCACCATACTTCCAATATTTTCCCATACTTTCAGAGACAATGTCCTATTTCAAATATTGTGTAATTATACACAAAGATGTAAGATAACAAGATAACTTCACCATCACCATGAATGAAAATAACCTCTACCCCGATATAATGCGACCCAATATAACACGGATTCGGATATAGCGCGGTAAAGCAGTGCTCCGGGGGGAGGGGGCGGGGCTGCGCACTCCGGTGGATCAAAGCAAATTCGATATAACGTGGTTTCACCTATAACGCGTTAAGATTTTTTGGCTCCCAAGGACAGCGTTATATCAAGGTAGAGGTATACTTAAAAAAAAAAAACAGTAATGAAATGCTCAATATTGTTTTCCCAGCTTAGATATTACTGTTTCTCCTTCTTCCCACTCAACCACTCTGTTCTCTCCTGTGCCTTCTGTTCAAGTTATTTACCTTCTTGTGTGATGTGCAGAGTGACAGCAAAAGATTGCTATAATCCTGATATTTCACATGTTAACAGGCAGCACTTCAGAGATCAAGATTTTAGCAAGCTTTATTTTGCTGGCCTTACTGAAGTGTATTAATAAGAGGCCTGATGAATTCATCACATCCAATAATCCAAAAGTAATGCTGCTTCCAGGAGATGGAAAGAACTACTGCAATGGAGAATATAGTGGAAACTATTTATAACACCCAACAATTTTCAAAAGACAAAAAAATCTTAACAATTTGTAGACCTTTACTGCATAAGGAAGTCAATACTGATGATTTTGATGTAGGAAATTCATTAGGTAAGAGATAAACCAAACAAATAACAGGATTTGAGAGCCATTCTTTAGCATAACAGAAAAGCACTATTAGAAGAATCCTTGTAATTTAGATTTTATTTTCTCTTAGCTACTACAGGCAGATTTAATTTTCCTTTCAACCTTAACTCACAAGTGGAGGTTAAAAGTGAGAATGTTCAGTCAGTAACAAGATCATATGTGGTAAATAAGGGGTCAAGTAAAATTATGAGGAAAATTATGTATGTCTGGTATAAAAAAAATACTTGCATACTTCACAGAGACTCTATCTTGGGAAAAGATTTGGAGGGGGGAAACCATGTTGGATAATCAGCTGAGCTTACAGTGCGATGTTATGGCCAAAAGAGCTAATGCAATCATTGGATGCATAAACAGGGGAGCTTCAAATAGAAGTAAAAAGGTTATTTTACTTTTTAATTTAGTTCTGGTGCAACCATTGCTGTAAATACTGTGTCCAGTTTTAGTGTCCACAATTTGAAAAATATGTTGATAAATTGGGGAGGGTTGAGAGAAGAGCCATGAAAATGATTAAAAGATTAGAAAACATGCCTAATAGTGAAAGACTAAAGGAGTTCCTGTTATTAAGCTAAATAGAACAAAGGTTAAGGGATGACTTGATCACACAGTCTATAAGTACCTACAGCGGAACAAATATTCGATAACAGGCTCTTTAGTCTAGCAGAAAAGGTATAATATGATCCAATGGCTGGAAGCAGAAGCTAGCCAAATTCAGTTTGGAAATAAGGCATAGATTTTTAACTGTTACAAATCTATGTCTTATTTCCAAACTGAATTACTCTACTGTTAATCTATGCCTTAGTTCCAAACTGAATTTGGCTAGCTTCTACTTCCAGTCATTGGATCGTAATTACATTGGAACAATTGATTACAGGTCCTGGTGGACTTGTCATCACTGGCAATTTTTAAATCAAGATATGCTCTAGGAATTATTTTGGGGAAGATCTATGGCCTATGTTATACAGGAGGTCATATTAGATGATCACAATGGTCCCTTCTAGCCTTAGAATCTATGAATTTATGAAAAACAATGTTTTCTGCATCGGGAATAACATGGAGTTTCCCTTGTTCAGCATGAATCCCAGACGACTGAAGAGAAACTATAAACTGGACATGTCAGAGAACCTGATGCTCAGATCTGCCTCCCACTAACCAATCATCTAGATAAGGGAAGATGTGAATCCCTTACATCCTCAGGTAGGCCACCACTATTGCTGCCATGCACTTGGTAAATACTCATGGGCCTGACAAAGGAAGTACTGTATATTGATAATGTTGGCCTGCCACTATGAATATCAGAAACTTCTTGTGACTTGGCAATACTGCCACATGGAAGTAGCTATCCTGGAGATTGAGGGCAGCATAACAATTGTAATTTAGAGAGGGAAGGATGGATGCTAGGAAAAGTATATGAAATCTTATATATTTGATATACTTGTTGAGATTTTGAAGGTGGAATATGAGTCTCAGACCCCATTTGGACCTGGTGATCAAAGTACTGTGAATAAAACCCTTTTCCCTGATGTTGAAGGGGACTTCTTCTATGTTCCCTAGTGGGAATAGAGTCTGAACTTCTTGAAAGAGCACTGCCTTGTAAGATGGGTCCCTGAAAAGGAATGGGGTAGGTGGTGGAAGAAGCGGACGGAGAGGAATTGAATAGAATATCCCATTCTCATAGTGCTCAGGACACATTTGGCCATCATTATGGCTTCCTAAACACTGAGGAAGTGGGACAATCTGTCCCAAAATGGGGAAGAAATAGCAGAATGATCACCCGTTACTGTATCACTGTCCTCGAGGGAGACGCTAAATGTGCTGCTTCCGTACCACTGAGTGAGGACAGGTACAGGCTGGCTGGTTTTAGTTGGAGTTGGAGTAATCCTTCTGTGACTTCTGCTTCCTCCTCAAAAAGTCATGTTGCCTTCGTGGATATCCAGATTGTCTATAATATTGCTAGGAGCACTGTTGTTGTAGTGCCCTATGCTGAAACCTCCTGAGGGGTTAAAAAATATGCTCCCAACAAATGAAGCCTTTAAATGAATGCAAAGTCTCATCAGTAGGAAAACACAAACTGACCATCAAAAGGGAGATCATCTAAGACTTGCTGGCTGTCAGAGGTTATACCACAGTTTTGTAACCAGGAAGCTCTCCTCATTGTTATTGCAGAGGCTATCACCCAAGAAGTATCTGCCACATCAAGCGCACGCTGGAGTGGCCACCAAGCGTTCTTCTACCAGGAAAGTCCTAAATTCTTCCCATGCATCTTCCAGCAGCTTGTCAGTAAATTCAGCAATACAAATTAACATTTAGTTAACAGCACCTGTCGGTAAGCTATGCACCAGGAGAAAGAACGTGTAACAGATTTTTCTCCCTAGCAAATCAAGTCTCTTGGACTCTTTCTTCGGGAGTTGATTTGAATCTCCCCTCCCCAAATTATTAATTAATCAGTTTGCAAGCAACTAGAGGATAATAGGGTCATAAGTAATAGCCAAAAGATTTGTCAAAAACAAATCATGCCAAACCAACCTAATTTTCTTTTTTGACAGGGTTACTAATGGATAGGAGGTAGCAGCAGACATTATATTTCTTGATTTTTAGTAAGGTTTTTGATGCAATCCAATATGGCATTCTCATAAGGAAAATAGGAAAATATGGTCTAAATGAAATTACTATAAAGTGGATGTACATCTGGTTGAAAGACTGTACTAAAAGAGTAGTTATCAATGGTTCACTGCCAAACTAGGAGCGTGCATTTAGTGGGATTCCTCAGGGGGTCAGTCCTGGATCCATTGCTAGTCAATATTTTCATTAATGACTTGGATAATGGAGCAGAGGGTATT